AGGGGAGGAGTGTTAGTAGTACTAGTATGCCGGGGGCGGAGGGAACGGGGAAGAGCACCGCTGGGGGGAGTAGTACGTCTGTTGCAGGTCGTACTGGGGCTGGGGCTAGTTCAAGCAGCTCGTCTGGCTATGCGAGGCCGACGGGGGTACCGGGCGGTGTTGTTGGTGTTTTGGGATTTCTTGGGGCCGTTGTTGCGCTCTAGAGACTGGATTGGGTGCTTGGCATATATGGAATTGCATTTCGTCGAGAAACTGACGGCCGTGATCATAGAAATCCTTTCTATCATTCTTTGCTCCAACATAGCTTTCATCAGGATAATCCTGTCCCGCTCGCGATTGATCAACAAATGTAAATTTTTCGAAAGTCTTTGCTAATCCGGCTGATTCCCCTATTCTTACCGTATTGCTATTTCTTGGTCCATTCAAAGCTATATGGAAGAGGCATCGTAGGAATCAAAGAGCGCTGTACAGAAACATGCAAAATCGGTTGAGACCTACGTGCTATACGGGATTACCAATCACCTTCGAGTGGACATTAAGAGGCCTTTTATTATTCATCAGCAAGTACTCCTCAAGTTTTTTGAAAGCCGGATAAGATCTAGGATTTTAGAGAGGTTAGAACTATTATAGTACACCGGATCTAGTTAACTATATAGAAATACCCTAATATTAAAATATTTAATAGTGCTAGGAGTTATAGATATACTAAAATAGTTTTATTATAGCTATCTTGAAGCCTATGAATTAGGATTCTGGTAACGGCCCATCCGGCTTTCAAAAGACCTAAGGAGTATAATCATGCTACACTCTTCTCTGGCGCTTTCCCGTGGTGACTTTGGAGATTTCGAACGTCAAACAATCAAGGCGTGTGCTTTTCGAAATGTTCTCCACCATTTCATTCTGCATTACAGCTTTGATCGTATATCTCTTGTCGCCGCGGGTAACGATAGTCGATTCTGTCAACTCTCTGATCTCCCGCAAATCGGACTCCAGGTAGCGTATGTGGAATCTCTGATCGGGTTGTCGAGGATGGGAGAGGTACGATGCCAGAACAGGTTTACAGCGGCAGTCGAATGTACCTCTATTGATATTGTTGTCGCGAATCGCACACACAATCCCAAGCTCCACGATAGCACCGCTATCAGGCAGTACAATCTCCACCCGGAGGAAACAACCAGTGTACCTGATATCTTCGAAAATCAAGTTGTTGGTGTCATCCCAATGACTGGATGGTGTGAATTTCTTAGCAGACCAGCATGGATGTAATGGGACAACAAAACCGATGGGCGCATGAACAGCTAGAACTAAGTCAATAGGTATGGAAGTGGTAGGCGGATCGGTGGAGATATAGATCTCAGATTCTGGCCTTCATTTCCATTCTGGATAGTAAAACTGACTTAAAGGCATACGTCCATTTCTGAAAGAGAAGTCTGGGCTACCTTAGTTTTGACGAGAGAGATCATCGCTGCTACGGCCTACAGGCTCTTTGCATATTAGACAGCCCAGCGCTATTTACGCCATCACAATACGGCCAATTACAGGAGTTAGCTGCGTTTCTAAAGCCTTTGATTCGCTCAAGGGATGACGTAATTATCCTAGGTGGTTCGTCTCATGCGCAGAGAGCCTGTAGTAGCAGAACATAATTCAAGTGCATATGTTGAATATTGCGAGTTGTTATTATTTGGTAAAGTTGATCAACCATTCGTAACCCTTTGGCAAATTCGTGAAAAATTGTCGCAGAATTAAATTGTTCAGAATCATGGCTACTATGAAAGGCAGCCGGAGAAGGAGCAAGAATTAGATAGTATTCATAATCTCCTTGCGGAGTTCAGGCGAATATGGTGAGATCTTAAGTGCTCTGGTTCTGGGACGAGTAGTAGCGTAGATTTCATGCGAATAATCCTTCAGGGGTGCAACATAATTGGTCATGATGATCGGCCCAGCCGAGACAGAGGGGACGGAACCGGGAACCTTATGTACTTGTAAACGCTGCATAGCCCCCCATTTCTTGGCAGCACCTTGGTTTTTGAACGGCATCGAAACCACTTGGCACCAGCACCTTCCGTAGCATGCCAACGTCTGACAGAACCTAGCGTCTCCAGCGACCCCCTACTTACTCACTCATACTTTATCTTGGGTTGAGTAATCAAGATACAAACTACTATTATCGGAGGCAGTTCTCCGCTCCGATTTTGCACATTCAAAGGACAACAACGCTACTCGACACACCGCGACCGTATTTATGCCAGGCCTTGCAGGGCGTTACTGTTTTGCCTCGCCGAGATGATGGAAAGCCTCAAAGCAATATTTGTAAAGCCTGACCCTCAAGCACAGGTAAGCCGACCGCCCACCTCGTCACATATCCTGCTTTGCTACGGACTCCTACTACCAAGCAAAACATATTCTACCGATTGCAGTAAAGGCAACTTGCCCGGCCTCCGTGGAATGCGTTCTTTGCTTATGTTAACTGATCAACAGCTCCGAAAATGCAACGCCCTTGTCCGGTCTAATGTCCGCACCCTAGACCGGGAGATCGCATAGACGAAACAACAGGAAATCAAGGCGAAGAAATATATTTTGCAAGCGACAAGCGGGTGGCACGAGATCCCCAGAGGCAGGCGCAAGCTCGTCAGGATGTGCGAGTCTTTGCGCGAGAGCTGATCCACCTCCGAAGGACATCGGCGCGCCTGTTAACATCCAAGGCGCAGCTCGGAAGCGTACCGATGCAGATCAATGAGGCGTACGCGGTTAAGAAGATTGAGGGCAGCATACGCACTTCCGTTGGTATCATGCGTGGTGTCAATACGCTGATCCGTATGCCCGAGCTGATGGAGACAATGCAGCAACTCTTCAGAGAGCTCATGGCTGCGGGAATTTTGAGGAGATGGTTGGCGATATCCTTCCCGAGGAACAGGTTGAAGTGGATTACACTGAGACGGAGGTCGATCAGGTGCTAAAGGAGATCCTCAAAGACTCTACAGCTACTGCTGGAACTTTGCCTTCCATACCCGATACCATGACTTCGCCGACGGAAGAACAAGAGGAAGAGTTCACACAGGCAAAGTTGATGCAGATGAGGACAAGATTAGAAACCTTGAAGAGCTAAACGCCAAAAATGCGGCTAGAGTAGCAGGGGAACTCACGAAGGCTCAGGGGTATGCAAACGATTGATCAAATATCTCGTAATATTATGAATACACAAGCCACCCTCTGTATAGACTTCGTAGCCGATCCAGCTGCTTCATATCTTCGACTCGCTTCCGATCCCACAGTGCAAATCCGGCAGTTCTCCACAGCTCTAAAGAAGAGTAGTGCGCGAGGTACATTTCCTCGTTGTCTGTCATCTGCCTGGAATTCATCAAGGCGTTTCCAAAGAATCCCATGTACCTCCCGTCCAGCGCGTCGACCCAACCGAATGGAGGCAGATCTACCGCATCTCCGGCAAAATCAACCGTCAGTTCGCCGCTATCTAGTTCCTGCTGTTGTCCGCGACCGTCTCTCATTGGGTCCGGTAGGATAGCCATCCGATGGTCCTGCCAGGCAAACTGAAGGCAAGGCAAGGAATACCGCACTATGTAATTATTATGCGTAGGTGCGCTATCAATACCTTCTCGCTTATTCAGTCCACATAGCGACTGCAAGATGCAGAGCGCCGCGTCCGTGGTAATAGGATGCTCCCGCATAAATTGCACAAGATGAACTGCTTTCGAGAACAAATCACCGAATTGGGCCTCACTGATTGGCTGTGTAGACTCCTCCCTAGCGAGGCAAAGTGCTGCGTAAAGCCTTGAGACAAATCTCTCGATGTGATCGATCTGCTGTAGCTCCCATGGCTCAAAAGCGGCGAATAGGCCAAGTCGTATATCCTGACGTTCGCGGGTGTTGCTGATTGCGGCTAAGTCTTGCTCCATCCACGAGGGTTCTCGCATTGTTGGTGCCCACGCGTTACAGACGATCTGGCGCCGATAAAATGCCCGTAGCACCCGTAGTCTTTCTGTACGCGTAGGCAATGCTGTAACGGCGTTGCTATCAAAGGATCGTAGCTGCTCGGTGATATAGATGCTGGCGAGAAAGTTCATGTCGTGGAGAGTGCGGCAGAGTTGAGTTAGCCTTGCAGAACTCAAGGCGGTCGCACCACCTCTTCTTCTGTAACGACCACCGTCTTTCAACATGGTCCTATACACAGCGGCCATATTGTGGATTTCATCCCAGTATGCTGTCCAACTTTCCGTGCTGCTGCCCGGGTTTGCGTAAGGAAGAAGGCTGAGGAAGCTGGCGTCCGTTAGAATGGTACCAAGCTCATTTTTCAGGACGCATAAGATTGCAGGATCTCTTCGGCTTTTGAAGCATCCGTGCACGTAGCGGGAGATGATACTGAAGTTGGAAAGAGCTCTCAGAGAGTCTATCTCACACAAAATAGAAAAAACGAGCTCAGGCGCAAGAGAATGGATGTGACCGGATTTCTCTTCAGTGGGCATCTGCGGCTGTCTTGCTAGAAGTATTCTTGCCAGTGACTGTGTCCACAGATTTTTCTCTTGATGGATAAGATGCTCACCTTCTGTATCCTGGGACAATACCTATCACTGGTACCACAATCCGGGAATTTCGAATGGGCTGGTATCGCAGCCGCACATAAGACGCGGCTGGAGGGTAATTGCGGTAGGTAGCCAATAAATCTCAATAGAAAAATGGGCTCAAGCAGGGTAATACACAGGTATGAGATGAAAAGGAAATCAAGCAAGATTTTGTTTGATGGATGAAGTGTGTTGTTCTGAGTCTGTTTTGATCTCCCACTTGCTGCAAGGTAAAATGGCTGCTGGGCGCACAGAAGCCACATGACTCCATTGGCTTAAAAAAAAACGTGACAACCTTAGGGCTGCGACAGATGGGGCCAAGGGCTGACCGAAAAAAACGTGGCCCCGCGTTGAGCTAATTATAGATGCCCCGCAGATCTAGATCTTCAACATGTACAAACTATCTAAGCGCAATAATCAAAAACTGGCTCTATGGTCTAGTGGTATGATTCCTGCTTTGGGTTCCCTAATCAAAGTTGCAGGAGGCCCGTACGTTCTGTGTTATTCTGAAAACTAAAATATACAGATACTAATCAAGGTTGTAGCGCGTTCGAGTCGCGGTGGAGCCCAGAAGATGTTCTTTTTGGCATTTGGTAACAGTTCTTTTTGCTCCGAATCACTTTTTATAAACCTTAGGATTTACCAGAGCCCGTAAACCTCTCTTCTGTTTCGTGGATTAATACTTCTCCCCCCCCCATGCTGCCGTGGAATATTATATGCTTTCATACGCCAAGGCATTTTCCCGATTGGGACTACAGTAACTTGAATAGCGGTGGAGCCCAACACTTCTTTTGACCATTTAGTAACAACCTTCTCTGCTCAGATTCACTTTTCATAAACCCCACGATCTACGGAAGCCCGTTAAATCCTATCTTTTATTTTGTGGATGATTTACTATTTGCTCTTCACATGCTGTCTCTGGGATATGTCCGCTTCCAAATGCCGAGGGAGCTTCTCCATTAGGACTAGTATAAGCACGTGACGTGGATCAAGCGACGGTGTCCAGGTTGCCCACGAATATAGATTGTTTACCACGATTTCTAAGCTATGCTTAGATATTGCGTCTTTTTGGCTTAGTAGTGTATGGTAAACTGCCAGAGGCCTGACAGAGGGGGCATAACCTTAAGTTTCGGACTTACTTCCTCGTATAATTACAAACCTTAAGAGCTCACTTCTTGCATGCCTTTACTCATGGTCTGACTTCTACCTATTGTTGGACTTCGTATATTGCCCTACTATACTCCGGGAATGGCTGTCACTAGATCAGGACAAGGAGGGTTTACAGTAGGGATAATGCATGATTTGCTTTCTAACTATGGGTATCATTTAGGGGAGAGGTTTCCCTCTCTGCCCTATGCAGCTTCCATCGATGCGTACTCGCTGAAAAATAGCCACACAAGACTGTGAAATTTGGCCAGCCAACAAAAAAAGAAACGAAAGCTAAGACAAAGTGAAGAACCCGATTGAGGCTTTCCACGCGGAACATAAGCGTCACAATGACAAGAACGTGAATATCAACCTATAAAGGCACATGCTGCCACTCTTCACCTCTCGAACCCTTTGGCTGGTGCGTAATAGTTGGGACGGCCGGCATAGATTCTGGTGGAGTATCCGGCACGTAGTATCTCGACTGGCTAGAGCTCCTTCTCCTTCCTGTGATTGCTCTTTCTGCTGACACATCGAGAAGTATCTTTGGTGGCTGCGCAAATCGCGAAGGAGGCACCGATGGTAGAGACGGTACAGGCGGTGAGTCAGGCGGTGTTATTTGCAGAGGTATTAGATTCGTCTGTGAAGAAGTATATCGGTGGTTGTAGCGTAAAGAGTGTGGTTTTGAATTAGCGCGGGGCCGTGACATTGTTGGCCTGGGACTTCTGTATTCTGGTGTGGGTGGTGTTGGTGGAGGAGAATAATCCTGTTCTTCTACAGGTGTACCTGGACCTTCATAAAACATACTCCGAGTCCGCCGTTGTTGTTCTTCCATCGATACAACACTATACGAACTTGCACCAGTACCACGTCGGACTCGTCCTTTGTTTGGTATAAGGAAGCTCCCTCGGCTTTGCGCTGCCTCCGGCATAAGGCTGTACATTATGGGTTGCTCATGCCGACGTTTTATTCGTCGACGTAACCATATGGAGAAGAGACATATAGTGAATAAACCGTAAGCCGTGAAGACTGAGATAGCTGTCCACTGTGCTATCGACAACGAAGTTTTCAACTTTCTTTCCTGGGCTGGCGAAAGCGTCGGTATGGACGTCGCTGACGAGTAGGCTGTGACAGTCACAAAGACGGTTCTTGTTGCTTCTGTAGCCATGATGAGAGGCCTTGTTGATCTGAATAGTAATGGCTGAATTACGGCCAGTGACGCCCAGTTTGATCGTGGTTTTCGAAAATGCTTGACCGTGTTTGGATTTCTGAGATGGGAGCGCAAATGTGCGGAGTCTGGCCAAACAATAGCTTAAGGCCTGACGTGGTGCTGGTGCAACAGACAGTACTCATCCGCGCGGGCTGAGGGATATGAAGGCGCAGCGACGGGAGGCCGCAGAAGCTAGAATAATTGAGGAATAGAATAAAATGACTGGGGTAATATAAAGGCTGAAGATGTCGTGATGTGTCTGCTTCAAGCAAAAGAAACCAATAAACCCGACAACGAGGCCGTCACAGCAATTCGGACAAGACAGATGCCAACCTGCATACTAGAAGAAATAGAGAGGCACAGCCTTGTCTTTCATACATCCCATTAGCTGATCGAATGCCAGCTTCAGGAACGCAAACAACAAACCATATCCAGTATTATTACGAGTGAGGCGAGGCTTGCATAATGCCCACACGTAGAACCAAGCGCAAGCTGTGATATAAATATATGTGCGCGCTTCTCGCCAAACAAACGTCTCAGCCGCATGGAGGAGAGGGAAAGCGGCGTAGTCTAGATGCGGAAAGAGGGGTCATTTGGAGCGAATCAGACGAAAGAAAGATGCAGTGTGAGAGGCAGCGACGAATGGTAGCTGTTTGAGATGCTTAGAAGAAGAAAGAAAGGCGTACTAGACTTGGCGTGGTAGCACTGCCCTCTGAAGCTCACGATGTAAGTTCAAGGTGGCTTGACAAGTGCATGAATTGAGGATGAGGGTCTGCCATCATTCGGTTGGCTCAATATTGTTACGAATGCTGATGGATGCGCCTGCTTTTCTTACTTAGAGCATGGAATGAGTGAGCAAGTAAAGCTATAATAATGTGGTTCTGGTCATCAGTGAGATGTCGTCCAGACTGGAGGATCTATCACCTACCCTGGGCATAGATGTAGATTTTGCATCAATAAATGAATAGTTTGTGGATCTCCTCAATAGTCCAGCCAGCAATCCAGGTCTCAGAATTGTCAATCGTACACTGATCGTGAAATTCTGGGTTAATGGAACTTGCCGGAAAGGAACGAGGCTGTGCCGTAACTGTGCCTCCTCCTCGCGTAGACTTGCGACCACTCAAGTATCAGATCTCAGCCTCATATGAGATTTGATTGCCCATACCGGCTCGAGACTAGTGAGATGCAGTATGGGCGGATGTAATATGTGGAGCCGTTGGGTGTCCTGTCTCGCAGAAGGAAATATCTGTACTGCTACAGGTTTTGACTCGCACGCTCGAAAACCTACCAGATATAGGCGCGCGCTCTGGATGTGCATCGAGTTGTCACAGTTTTCGCGCATTGCATGATGAGTTGATGTGGTGACGTTTTGAAGTAAGAGGGAGAGAGTACTGGGAATTGACAAGATCCACAGTGACTACGTCACACACCTACTCCTCACGTTTATCGAAAACCGGATAGACTTTAGGATTCCAGGGTATTTTAATCGACCTAAGTATAGTAAAACTAACTTAGTATACTTATCTACTTATATTATAGATATTCTACTTAAAGGCGGGAGTCATTAGTATACTGGTCTTGTTTTAGTCTAGCTAATATTAAGATTGTTGATCAAAATTCCGGCGATAGCTTATCCGGCTTTCAAAAAATATGAGGAGTAGTGAAGCCTTAATGGTGTCGATATCAAAATAATTATTCGCCAGTCAATCACAAAAAGCAGGAGACATGATTCAGAAATGCGCCCATAATTCCATTGTCCTATTCCTAGGATCCAGAATTACTTAGATCCTGTCAAATGCGCTTTCGGCGATGCCTGACCATGCTCAACGCGATGCGCTTTGTGATATCTATACAAGTGTTCATATATCATACGACAGGCCCAAAAACCCTATCCAGCATAAGGTCTGCTCAGCGAGTCTCCTCTCCTCCCCCAAGCTGCTGCGCAGCTTCATCTTCACCGCCCTTTTCCAACCATTCCTCGAATTTTCCCAACCGCTTCTCATCCTCAGAGTCCGAGCCCTCCTCCATGGCTTTCTTCTCGTTCGTTTTCTTGAAGCGATCGTTACCTTGCGATATATAGGCCACAACTTTCTTTCCTCCAAACATTCGACCATCGAAAAGCTTGACACATGCATTGGCTGCCTGTGGAGTGGTGAAGCGGACGCTAGCAACTCCTTCTGGTTCCTTGTCAAACAAGACCACGTTGGTTACTTCGCCGACCTTGCCGCCTTCCTCACGGATATCCTCCTTAATATCGAGTATAGCGGTAGGCTCCCCCTCCAGTTCTTCTAGGGTAAACATGTGCTTGAGGATCACAACTTTGTCCCAACGCGAGCTTACTTCCGGTTGAGCTGAAGGGTCATCGTCATCCCAGTCTGCCAACTTGTTGTTGAGTTTCTGCATCCGTTTGATAATCTTTTTCTTTTCGCGCATGTTTGTTTGCTTGGGCGCATCCTTCTGTTTTTTGTAAGAGAAATCGGCGGCTTTCACGGTCATAGGACCAGAGGGTCCTTTTTCTCCTAGCCTAAAGTCCGAATCGTCAAGCATTTGAATCGCCAGATTGACCGACTCTGGTCGAAAATAGATGATGAGAGCATCTCCCTTTGGTTTCCCGGATTCGTCCTCATATAGCTTGATCCGTGGTTTGCCCGTTTCTATTTCTTCTGCGATGAGACCGAACTTCGAAAACGTGGTGTGAACTTCTTCAACTGTAACATCTTCAGGTAGGGACGTAACATATATTGCTGTGTTTTGGCGCTCCTTGACCTCCTTCTCCTTCTTTGGCTTCTTGACTTTCTTTGCGCCGAACTCCTACATTATGTGTTAGCTATGCCCCAGAGAAGCATCTTTAAATCATGAACCGTATGGGCCTCAGGAATGGGAAGAATTTGAATTCAACCTCAAGCTGAACTCCTGTATGAATCATGCTTCCGAGGAAACCACCCACATGTCAAACAAGAATGTAACTTACTGGTACTTCCTCCGCATCTCTATCAGCCTGCTTCCTCTTCTTCAACGCCGCCTCAGCCGTCTCCTCCTCATCCACCCCCTCCACGGCATAAGCCTGCTGTTGCTGTTGCAACAAAGCCTCATCCACCTGTAATCCGCCAAAGCGAAATATTAATTCTGCTCAAGGTTGCACACTTAATACGGAGAAATAGAAGAGGAGAGGGGACTGAAAGTTTCGGAAGGGAGGATTTGAAAACTTACAAC